ATTAGCTGCGGCCGAGTCCGCTAAACCCTGCTAGTACTGGAGACGAGCAGTTCTGAGATGTTGCTTACATTTATTTCTAATCTCTCGATAACTATCATAGGTGCTGGCTGATGGAGCTGCTTGGTAGGTTCGCCAGCATCTAGACCGTTTCTTGAGTAGGTATTTGCCTGTGGTATCTATCCATGGAGGCTGTGCCCTTAACCCTCTTTTCCTAATGAGTGGAATATAGGGAGTGGAAACCTCCGTAAGGTATGTCTTAAATTTATCCCAGGCTAACTGGACAGAGTCAGCCATCGAGATCTCACAGTTCAGAACTGAAGCCTTAGCTCGCATTGCACTAAAGTCCGCCCGCCAAATATTCGGAAGTAATTCAACAGCGGTCTCTTGGTTCCTTGAAAGCGCAAATCGAAAGGATATGCATGCGTGATCGTTGGACCCTAGAGGTGCACCGTATGAAACGTCAGTCACAAAGTCCAGGGACTTAGCGAAAACCGAATCCAAAGTAGATGGTATTTGGTTGTCCATATACCTAGTGGGAAAGTCAACGAACTGGTGCAAAGGTACTTGGAGAGTCAGTTCAATGAAGTCTACACCGAATGTTCCTAATGCCGAATTGCAAGAAAGATCGGCCCAACAGACTTCAGGGAGGTTGAAATCCCCTAGAACTAAACACTTATTCGCAGACTGAGTGCGAATAAAGTCAAGTATCCCCCTGGAGGAACTGGGTGGAGGAAGTGCACAAAACAGCCGATGGGGCTTCAACAGTCTGATCCGATGACTGGAATGTGCAAGTCCTCAACACATCTAAGTTACAGTTCACATAAAGTACAACGCCTCCGCCTTGGCGACCAACGGAGCGATCAGTTCTAAGCAGCGCGTAGCCAGGTAAATATACCTCATCGTCCGTGATATCCGGAGACAACCACGTTTCAATGAAAGCAAGTATGTCGGGACGAGATTTGTCTACAAGTAGACCCAACTCGTGCACCTTGTTCCTTAGGCTACGCACGTTGCTAAGTACTACCTCGAGGAAGTCGGCACGACCATCCCTGGGTCGTGTGGCATCAGGATGGGTTCTGATAGGGCGGAAAGTAACTTCCGGCTGACCACCTGAAAACCCGCCAGACAGAGGTCTTGCTCACCAGCCACCCGTCTAGTTTTGAGGTCTTTGATAGCCTCCTTTAACTTCAATCTATCTGCCAGTAGTAGGTCCGGCTGAGCGCTGACACCACTACCCTTAAGTTTGAATGCAAATCGCAGTAATGATTTGCATTCCTCCGGGGTAGAAAGGACTACGCGAAGTAGTCGGGGTCGTGGATTTGGCGTAGCGATAGGGACGTTCCCCAATCTGGTCAGCTTTCTGACAGTGACACCAGGGAAGCCAGATGGAAGTAGCTTGCTGACACACAGTTTCAGCCACTTGATGTCATCCAAGATGCGTTCCCTTGGGAGAACGGCCGCAGACTCAGTAACGTTACAAAATATAACGCTACTATCCGTGAAAGAGTCGGTACGACGGAGAGCGTTTACCCCATGTGCCTTGGATTCGACACCTATACCAGCTGTTTTTACCACTGGCAGTGGGACTGTCCCTGTCTTCACAAACGACGCCGAAGCAACGGTAGCGTAGGTTTTCCGCTCTATTGCTGGCGTCTTACTAGTTCCTGAGTCTTCAAGCCCCTTCAAAGTTTTACGAGCAGATCTAGTCCGCTTCTTCTTTTGGTTCACTGGGGCAGGGGCCGTTGACTTTGTATCGCATTGAGCAGTTACCAGCACTTCGTCAGAACGGGTTGGTTCCCTGGCGGCCGAGACGATCAGCATCTTCGGAAAGTTCTGGGTACAATCGTCAGACGACTTTATGACTGTCAAAGACGACATCTTTTTCGATGCCATGGCTACTAATTCTCTGGGTTTAGCAGAGGGCTTTTGGTATTTTCGCACCCTAGTTTTCTTTACTTTGATCGACTCATGTGAATAGCCAGCAATGCTACTTGGATTGGCCGGTAGGATGTGTGACTTCATGACCGAGTGACAGACTCCAGTGGATGGATCGTCAGCAACGTTGCCGTCTATCGCAGTGTCTTCAATCGAAATATTCAAAGATTTTAAAATCAAATCCATTTTCGTATCGAGCGACGCAATAGAGGCGAGTTTAGCTATCGCCTCCTCAACATCTGCCAACCTTGAGGCCAGCGCTGAAAGTTTAGCACCGGTGACAGCCAGGCGCGTCGATCTTTGAGCGCAGCATTCAGCACAGCTAAAAAGAAAGTGAACGCTTGATGATAGCATTTTGTACTGGTCAGCATGTAGGCCGGTGATACCAGCGGCAGCAGACGTCACACTGCATACCGCCAGATACATCTGTTACTGGCTCTGAACAGTTAACCTGTCCGCAAGCTGCAGTCGACTCATCAAACGAGGACCCCATAGGTCCGTACTAGGAAGTGATAACCAAATTATTTCCTTAAAACGACAGATAGAAATGTATAAGGCGCGCTGGTTTGGGCACCTACTCCGTATGACAGGTCACCGCTTAGCGAAGATCGCTTTGCTTTGGAAATATTTCGGCGTTGATCATCCCAACACTGGCACACCACGATCGCGGTCGAAACCGCGATTGCTCTGGAATCATCAGGTGGAGATAGTTAGAGCTGAGTGGAACTCACAGCCTAGCTGTTCACGGCTGACGCTTTGCTTCGTTTCCCCGATGTAGGCTGGCGTAAGTCTTGAGGTGGACAAAAGTTGACTTGGTAGCGGGAATTGAAGCCGCTGACGACTTAACTCGGTGCTGTCGGTCGGTCTCCCCTTCCAGTCTGGAGTCCACATGACCCACCTTGTTCTTGGCTCGAGACTTTATGGGACATGGCCAGTAGACGACACCAGTGGCATGTCTGTTGCCGTCTCGTACTAGGACTGCCCTGTTTCCTGTGTTTGGTGCTGTGATCTGCGGGTGATGGCTGATTGCGACGCGGGACAGTGAAAGTCGCAGAGAAGCTGTCTCGCCGATGCCACCTTATCTCTGCACGATAGGCAGCTGTTGGTGATGGCATGTTATTGACAAGGTGAAGTCGCCTTGACCTCGAATATTTGCATAGGTTGTTAAGGTCTTCCGATAGTCCCGCATCTCTCCTCTTATTATTCTTCGTTCCATAGGTCGTTGTGGTCGTATGGCAGCGAAGCATCAGTTCAAATGGTTGATGTACTGCTGTTGGTGATGACCCTGACCATCCTACAATACTTATTAGGCATGAACATACTAACTGTGATAAGCGATTACTGCTTTACTCAATTAACTGATGTTGAGCGAGGTACCGCGAAATGGCCCTAGACAAAAATTGCCATTGCCCATGTAGATTGGCCCAATTGTGATTTCATTTGCCTCTTAAGACATATTCTTTCCGTTTAACTACTTCGGCAGATGGAAATGTGTCGTCTGTCCTGCCAGTCACACCGCAATTTTATTTGAACTTGGGATAATAACATCTGTTTCGAGGTCAGAGTAGCGGAAAGCACATCGGCCAAATACACTCCGAGACCCAATAATGCACCCGCTTTCTCTGCTAGTTTTTTTCATTTTGCTTTCTCACTATCTTTAGCGGATTCTGGAAATAAATTTAGGGTTTCAATCTCATTTCCTGAGAAGCTCAATGAACGCTCCAAGCCGCTGAAGATTGTTTATAAAGCGTATACTCTGATGTATGCAACTCAGCGCTCGGACATGACCACTATGCGTCAGCCTCAACCATGGTATCGCTACGTAATATTGTCCTATGTTTCGAAGACAGCGCACTCATCATCACAGACTGCAGCGACGCAAGCGGTGCTTCCGAGATTAGTCATCCGTGGGCGTATTTTTAACGGACACCAGACGCCGTCATCCTCATGCATATGGGAATCGGAACGCATCAGCGTTATGGCTAATGTCTTCATTTGAGGGACACGAGTGACTAACTGAATGTCACCGATGTGCACACTCGGGGTGTGATGTGGGAAAAATGTCAGGAAGGCGAGTAAACATTCTATGAGGCGAAATAATAGCAATATCTTTAACCGATTGCATGCACGCCTAACTCTATCTACGTATCGCAAGGAATTAACGGAAAGTTCCTCTCAACCAATCACCTTCCAGGAGGCAAACTGATCGACATTTGCAGTGATAGCACTTGTGGTCGAATACTACTGATCAGAGGTAAATTGTCCGGTAATGTAGCGGTTCAACCGTGCCAAGATCTGGGCGATATATCTTCAATTAGTTAGTGTCACGCAGATGGTGTGACGAATTGGTGGGGATGGAAGCCAGCTTATGGCACAGAACGACAGAACTCACTCGTTCGATAGCTCATCACATGTACTCTGTATCTTTAGGGAAGCGAAGCACTATGAAAAGGACGCGACTATCTCCCAATTCCCTTAATTTTTGTCAACGGATTCTGCAAAATCGGAAGCGTATTACTCCTTAAAAGAGTCAAGAGTGTGTAGCTGATTGCGAGCTATATCCAAATATTGCCATTTCAAATTCTTGGTGTGTGTGACCGAGATCTACTCTGCGGGCTGACTTGGGTGCTTAATGTGCTCATGTAGTCAAAATATTTGTTATCTGAAGAGATGCAGTTGCATTACGCCACGCCCGACGACCACCGACGCTATTGTGAAAAAGTGCCATTATACCCAACTATATGTTCTATATAGTCGACTGTAGGATCTGTCGGAGCTGATTTGCAGATGCTGTCATTCTTTATTGGTGGCCTTGTCTCAGATGGGTAAACTTGGAAACCGGAAAGACCACAACGGAGCTACATTGATAGTATGCCCAAAGCTGCAGTTATTGTTGAGGTCCTCAATTTATTTCTGCGTAAAATAACCAGGCGAATGGATGTGGAGCCTTTGGGTGTCTGTTAGGAACCACCATGGGTCGTCTACGCTTGGCTGTGTTCAGATACCTCCAAGTTCAAATCCTCACAACTGACCACAAAAACATGATGTAGCGTTGCTTTGCTTACCATGGCACTTGCGTGATCTGAATCACCTAGATCGATTCCGTACTTCACGTCGGCCTTCCAGGTTGCTGAAATTCGAAGATTTGTTAGGAAGAATGGTTTGAAGTCCTGCAAGTATAACAAAGGATAAAGGTTAGTACAAGCGTTGCATGGTGTAATACATTTAGCTTGGAAGCTTTGGGCTGCAAATTAGTACTCCTTGGTGACATTTTTAAAATCCCGTTCCGTCTGCTGCTTTAGACGCTACCAGACCGTGCAGATAGCTGCTTCGCAGCGTCGCACAAGGTGACTTCTTACCAGTGGCAGCACTGGTAGTTTGTGCGGTACATTTAAGTAGCCTTACTTCGAAGGGTATGCTGATGACGAGTCACGTGGTTCATGACGCTGTTCTCATGGCGTTCCTAGGATGCTGTTTGGTTCTTATGGGACGCATTCGACAACACATCAGCTGGCAAACCTTTGGTTAAATGCAGCACACGGATCTCCCGACACATATATGCCCTTTCGATAGTCATCAGTAATGCTTGAAAACTGATAGCTTAAGGATTTTTTAGGCATTAAATCACTGCTTGACTAAGGTGAGGTTCTCCTCTACAGGTCCGCTATCTATTGTCCAAGTAACTAAGACAGAGTGCATAGCAGTTGCTCTTCCGATATTCTTTTCGCCGGTCATTCAGCTGAAGAGTGAGTCATGCTACCAAGGGTATCACGAAATTAGTTACGCGTAAAAGCTTAAGTTAGTCATGGGATGCTGCGCAGTTCGTTTTCTTTTGCAACATGGTGGGTATGACGTCTACTGAAAATGAGAAACCATCAGTCTGTTCAGTGTTCATGCTACGAATAACCACAGCAAGACGCACGGTTTAAGTGTATTAACTTAGTACAACAATCAACTATTAATAAATGAATTAGTATGGACGCATTTAAATCATTATGTGTTTGCGAGTTCACCAGATCATTTTTGTACTGATCACAGGAGACCTCACCTCGCGCAATGTGTTATCCCACAGCCTGGCTTGCAATTCCAGAGTGATTGGGCCGGCTTTGTAAGATAACTTGCCCAAGTCACAGGATATGGGGACGCAGCGCAGCCGACCGTTGTAACAGCTCTGAAAGTAAGATTTAGAATTAGCTTGGATTCGGTATTGTACTGCTGTATACTCATAGGCGTCTTCAGATTCAGCGTATGGCATTAAACGTACGGTCATGTTGAATTGTTCGACATAAAACTGGTGAAACAGAAAGGACGCAGCCGCTCGACTTCAGTTACGGATCTTACATAGCCAAACAGAAGCTGGTGCCAAATGTAAAGAAGAGCTTTATGTTCATATTTTGTTGCTTTCCTTTTTGAGGACAGGTCGATTCAATAGTTAGCATTTTGAGTAGCTCGAACAATTATGATTCTCAAGGGAACGTTGTACAAACAAAACAGTTGGCGTACTGGGTCAAACATACCTATTTTTCTCCAACGCCCCTTGCACTATAAAGTGTGGAGCATGGCGTTCTACCCAGTGTCCAATTGCTCACAGAAGAGAATCGAACTACGGTCCACCACCATCAACCCATACCTGCACGATGACAAGTTCGCGTTTCTTATAAGGTTCCAGATTGTCAAGCTTTCGCACCCAAAAAACGGGACCCTTTATGCAGCCGAATCTGCTTCTAGCATGGGATAGCAATTTATAATAACTAGCTAACGGAAAAGCTCATGGGAGGCAAGGCCACCCCAAGATAGCAGAAGGGCCGTTCAGTAAGGAAATATTAGAGAGGAATCCTCATGATTTGTTAGTCTCCTCTAAGGATAAAATGGGTTCTCATACAAAACCGATGGTAAACCCGAGATTATTTCCTTTAGAACAGCTTCTGAATGGGTTAGCACAGAGCACTGTGAAAAGTACTTTTGCCGTATGGGACCAACACCTTTTCTCAGTGTCACCAATCATCTACAGATAGTGGTGAATTAGTTCGACTATTTGCGTAGCAATATCGTCCCAGTCGGTCGACAACGGGGACGCTGTTGTGCGTATATGCAACATCCATATGGTTTTGCAAAGCCGCCGTAATCTGTAATACTGGAAGATATCAGCTAATCGAATGAAATTAGAATGCGTAACATTGCAGTACGTTTAGTGTTGCGGTGTGGATTAGAGACACAGTCAGTGTGATTGGAGAGGTTAAGAAACAAGTCGTCTTTAACAGCGACTGTCTATGAAGCAGCAGTTATGAGTTGGGCCGCTGGATAAGTTAAACCACTTAGTGTTTAGTAGCAGGCTCGCTGTCCTCGAATTGAGCTTTCTGTTGGATCTACGTTAGATATGTCAGGCTCATTGTGGCTCTGGTTACACCGGTGTGCAAGGACTGCCGTTGCTGCACTAGTTGTTTAAGGTATCGAGAAGATAAGCCGATGGTATCATGCATGAACCACCAGATCAAGTTTATCAGCCTGGTGCGTACCACACTCCAGTGCATTGGTCACCTTGGTCGTCAGAGATGGCCCGGCCGCCGAGTTCCACTCCCGGCCTAAGTATATCTACTTGATGAGTCCAAGCCAGAACGAAGCGCGTAGTGGAGTGCATGGTTGGGAAACACGGAGACCCTCCACTTTGTTGACGGTTCCACTGATCGTATGTGTGGAGCTGACATCAAAGTCAAGCGAAGCCACATGCGATCACATGTCGCATTCGCAGACAGACGCTGGATACTCAAAAACACAAAAAGTAACTTCTAACCGCTATGTCAAGCGTTGCTCGCGAGCTCAGTGGCCCAGTGATGATGGCGATAGGCACCAAGCACTATGTGATGAGTTAGCCACCCTGCTCGGCTATCTATAAATGATAAGTCCAAACCAGGACGAAACGGGTCGTGCAGTGCATGGACAGGAGAGAGTAAAACTGAGATCTTCTACTCTCTCCTCTTCTTTTAACATTTGAATACTGTAATAGAGGTTACTTTTGTCATGACTTCTACTTTTGAATTTTGCTTTTTTTGTCAAATATCTTCTTCATCTTGGTATTTTTGCTTCTTCAATATCATGACCACGTGGATCAATTCGATGCCCGAATTTTAATCGATCTGAATTTTTCGGGTAGAGGCGATATATTGAACAGAAATCACCAGCGGTTTCTGGATGGCGACACATCGAAAGCGGCTCTTAGTCATCTCCATGATTTATCCCATGCATCTCCTCGAGTAGGCAGGTTATGCCAGCTCAGTTGTTTCGGTCAGCTTTTCCGTGCCCTGCCACTAAGTCATCGGTTAGGTACTATGGAGCTTTGCCCACCCAGTCGCGGCTGAGATAGGTGGTCGAAAATCATTCGGAAAACGTGATCGACTCGGTGCATGCGGTGTATATTCCGTGCAAAATGTGTAAAGTCAAAAAAATTTGGTCCCGCTACTTTGTTAATGCGGGGCAAACGATCCCTCCTTCGGGTGTGAGGCAGAGCGCATTAAATTGCCAACTGTTCTATAGTAGATGTTGGTCTATCTCAAAATGTCTCACCCGGTCACATGGGTGTAGAACGACCGTATGCATGCATGTGGGTACATGTGTACTTGCCAGTGTCGTCCATCGTGAAAACGCTGGATCATGCGCGGATGGTTGAGTTGGAGTCAACCTACGGCACGCCACAAGGCAAGTTCACCGATCGATACATACGGTGTGTCGGGCTGGTTGGAACGGAGACAGGTGTGCAAAATCGAAACAGCAGTGCCTCATTACCGGGCTACTGCGGTAGAATTGTGGTTGCGCTTGGACAGGCGTAACTGGCCTGAGCAAGGAGTGTGCAATAAGTGCTTAGTGTTATCCCAGCTAATGACAAAAGGGGACAAAATTAAATTTTTCATGTTCTCGTATCTCGTCGTATCGAAACTCTATACTGCCTTTTCTATCACGTTTACTAATCGACATAACAGGAGTGGAACACCGCTTTCGCGACCGCATGCTCGAATGAAGATGTCAAGTTTCGTTTACCGCTTTAATTAGTATTTCTCAGTAATGCTTTGTTGTCTAATAATCCGCAGTGTTGGTGTAAATTTGTTGAAAATGCATCCATACGGGTGGATAAAGCTTACTTTGACTTGACTTGATAATGCTGAAATATTTTGTTCCTCATTAATACAGTAGCGTGGAAAATGGCAGATATGGTGTATAAAGAAGGGCCACAGCTCACGGCAGGGAGTTTCAAAGAAATAGTATGATATTGTAGGACACTTCTATTAAGACAAAAATACGATTTCAACGCTTAAAATACCTTCTGGATTATCTCTACTGCTGGCATAAGTGAAAGCCATCTGGTTTTCCCGTATCCTAGAATGTGTTGGTATTCCACCATTGTAGAGTCACAGAATTCCTTTAGTTCTTCAACAGGAACAGTGTAAATGTAAAAGTAGGAATATATTTCCGCCACAACCGTTTCAACATCAATAGGACGACAGTCAGCTGCCGTTTGCAATGTGAGTCACGCAACTAATTCCCACAAGTGTTTCTCTAATCGAAGATTTCAGTTTCGCAAATACATTGTTTGCTTCTCTTCACTGAACGCTACCAAAATTTGTGTTGGTGTTGTCAGCACAAAATCCCACAATTTTCATGTCATATTATTTTGCTCAAACACATTCTTTATAACTTTACAAACGGCGTCCGTTGTGTCATCAGTAAGTGAGTGTACGTCTAGTAAACTGACATTATCCATTGATGGCACGAAATATCTCGCAATGAGGGGAAACATCTTTACTTCCTTGTGACTTGAGGCGTCTGTGAATATTGACACGGATGTTACTTTCTTCAGATTTTTTGAAATTTATCTCTGGACAATGGGAACAGGATATTAGTTATTATTACTATTATTATTATTATTATTATTGTGATTGCCCCACGTTTCTCGTGGGCACAAGCAAACTTCGGCTCAAACAATTTCTCTACAAACTTTCTGATGCAATTCATAGAGTGAAAAGTGTGCTTATGAAATACAGCGTGATAAGTGAGGTACCTTCTGCGGCTTCTAACTTGGCTTCTGTGTTTCCAAACATTGCTGATCGGAAATAATTATTTCAGGGGTAAAAGATGCTGCCGCAAACACTGCTACCATAAAACGATCCGATTTAAAGTGCTTTATCATATCTGATGTGCCACCGTGAGCTATAAAATAATTCGGATTCGCATTTTTCACACGGAACATGCGAATCGTTGTCGCGTATTGCCTTCTTAATGAATGGAAATCGCTCTCCAATTGAGCAGTCATCTTACACGTTCATTTAAACATGGTTCCCCTACCAAACTGGACAAAGTGCAGACGTTTTCCGCTAAAGTTCTGGTTTTTTCACCTACATTCTACATGCTCAAAGCGGGACATTCTGAGGTCTACGACCTCAATGCAGCTATCGAAACTGTGGCGGTCGACGCCAGTGCTGCAAGCTTTGTAACCCGCAGACCCAGACTGAACGTACGCGCGGGGTCAGTAACGATGAAGTGCACTGTCACGGTGGCGACAGACACCTGATCCACCGCTCGACCAAAGCAGGGGCTAAGTGGCGAAAAGAGCTGGTGGCCACGTGCACAAATGAATGGACACTTGCAACAAGCCCTGAGAGCCTGTCCTTCCGTGGCATAGCGGTCGCATACCGTGGCCAGATGTACACGTGCGAGCGAGGTAACCACGGCATGACGTGTTGCTAAATTTGGCCTCACAGTGTAAGTCCCGTGTGAATGGATGCACACCATCGGGTCATATACTACGCCAAAGTTCGGTTTGCGTCAGTGGGACACTACAATTGCATGTGTGATCCGTCTCAGGAAACTCATTCATGTCAGCATTGATCTGTGCCTATGCCATCACAGACTCTTGCCCCGCCGAAAAATAAACTATTTGTGTTTTTAACAGTTAGTTCCATACAATAGTTTGAATAACACAACGATAAGACGATCACTGGTAATTGCGCGCATTTGGTATTGTCTCATCAGTACCAATACAATAACAAGAAATGATATCTTTCCAAGGGTGTTACCAAGCAAACAAATGCAGTGAAGTGAGCGGCGGCAATCGTCCTAAGACCGTGGTATCCGTAGGTCAGCAACTGACAGTTCCTGCACATACAGGGCAGGTCTTAGTTGGCTTGTAGTTACGCCTCGGTGAACCGCAAGAAGCGTGGATTGGGATGACGCAGTGTCCGAAATGCGAAGCCGGGGTCAATCCGATAACGGGTCAACAAAACATGTCTGCTTATCGATGATGCTGGCGGTTTGCGTGCACACGGAATATTAGGTGAGGGATGGCTGACCTCACGTTGAATCCGTTTGACCAGGTGTTCCTTCACTCTGAAATTCAAAACACTCCCTCCTAACGCCGCAGGTATAATCAAATTGGTAAGTACAGTGTGATTTGGTGCTGATGGGTTCCACCTCCGTTACGGAAAGTAGCGAGAAGTTCCGGGTTCTGTTGATCACCACAGCATCTGCAGTGCAGTAGGTTCTATGAGTGGCGGCGATTAAGCGCTTGGTTGCACTCGTTGAAGCGTTACCGTTAAATGGGAGCTCGAGGTATACATTTTCCTTAGTTGCTATCAACACCGTTTCTTTCCGCGGTCTGACTTGGCTATGCTTCGTGATGAGGCGCTTATGGAAAGTGATTTTCCATTCATTAAGAGAGCAATACGCGATAACGATTCGCATGTTCCGTGTGAAAAATGCGAATCCGAATTATTTTATAGCTCACGGTGGCACATCAGATATGATAAAGCACTTTAAATCGGATCGTTTTATGGTAGCAGTGTGTGCGACAGCATCTTATACCCCTGAAATAATTATTTCCGATCAGCTATGTTTGGAAACACAGAAGCCAAGTTAGAAGCCGCAGAAGGTACCTCATTTATCACGCTGTATTTTATAGGCACGGTTTCCACTCCCACGATTTGTCATTTATTTCTTAGAGCCAATGAGCTTCGTGTTCTGTGCAATACGTGATTCTCATTATCCGCGAAGATTAGATATTGCCTAGAAATGCAGCTTCTCAGTTACATGCAAATGGAATATTGCCTCATTAATGGATATGTTGGAATGGACGCCCATGGTCCCGCCTGAAACAAAGTAGGCGACGTAACCACACTTGTTTCCTGCAACGGCGGTCACTACTGCGATGGGGGAGAATAGGCTATGCAGCAGCGAGTAGTCCTTAGGCGGCACAGGTTTTCTAGACTCCTTTCTCAAAACGTCACATTTCATATTTGCAACGCCTAATTGTAAGGAGTGCCTATTTTGCTGAATTTGATTGTTGGAAGGTAACTTTCATTCTACAGGAGCTTTGCCAATAAGCATTTTGTCATTAGATGGGATAACACTGAGCACTTATTGCACACTCCTTGCTTAGGCCAGTTACGCCTGTGGAAGCGCCACCACAATTCTACCGCAGTAGCCGGGTAGTGAGGCACTGCTGTTTCCAATTTTCACACCTATCTCCGTTCCAACCAGCCCGACACACAGTATGTATCGATCGGTGAACTTGCCTTGTGGCGTGCCGTAGGTTGACTCCAACTCAACCATCCGCGCATGATCCAGCGTTTTCACGATGGACGACACTGACAAGTGCACATGTAGCCACATGCAGGCATACTGATCGTTCTACACCCATGTGACCAAGTGAGACATTTTTAGATAGACCAACATCTATCATAGAACAGTTGGCAATTGAATACGCTCTGCCTCACACCCGAAGGAGGGATCGTTTGCCCCGCATTAAGAGAGTAGAGGGAGCAGACGTTTGGAACAGCATACAGTGAAGCGCCAGAGAGTTTATTGACAAACACCAGCAAAAGAAATTTGGCATTGCTCATAAGTAGGAGGATTTTAGTAACAATATAAAATGTGGCGTTCTGGTTTCAAATGCTACGGATAAAGCATCTGGTGAGAGAAAGTGATGACTTTGGAGGCTAGCCATTGTCATCTGCATTGGTAATAACCTGTGTGGCAGTGGACGATAGGTCGTGCTATATCCCAGTTAGCTTGCAAATTATGTATCACAACCACTGTCCTCCATGGCTCGATGACTTAAGCTGCTGGCTAGTTGACGTCAGGCTCCGGCAGTCCCAAACAGGGAACGGAAGGATGTGCACCACTGACGATCCCCAATAGGGCGAAACTCGCGGCTGGTGATTTTTCGGATTGGGAGTTGTGCTACTTAGCCTGTGAGCTGCTAGGACGAACTTTGGTATCTTTCGTTCGACTGTATCACCGGATAAGAACACAAGCTAGCAAATACGATCAGTCCACAAGTGTCCTTAGCACACTGGCCGCACCACAGCGTTGTGCATGCTGCCCTTGGCTGACAAATCAAAGTCACACCATCTCTCTAGAATTACATTGGTCTTGCAAGCTCAGATATTGACCTTTGACATTTTAACCAATGGAACCTTCAAGTTAAGTGAGCGTTTTGACCACTTCGAATGGTTTCTCACGGAGGATGGGAATCATTCCCAAGTACAATCGGTCCTACAGTACTAAGTTGTAGTTTGAAGGTACCACTAACGGTGCTGTACGTCGATCTTTCCGAATTCGTGTCAAGAAGGAGAGGAAGGGAACCGAAGTGGACGAAATCGTCTGCTTGCTCCACATTTATCAACCGGTTATTAATAAGAGCTCTGCTCTAGAGCGGAAGGAAAGAACAGAGCAGTTGTTGATCATTTCGGCCTGAAATTCGGTCATAGCGCGACCCGTTTACCGTGGTGAACTCAGCAGAACAGTCGTGCGACCATAGAGAGCATCGAGCGGAGTAGCTTAAGGATGTCAGTCCAACAAAAGATAGCTCCTGCCCACTATGCGAGGATAGACAACACCACAGGCAGGCAGGCCCAAACGCTTCGATGAAAGTCGACCTCTGAGCCTAGAAATATAACCATAGTGCTGTCCTAGCACGTGGTGGAATGTTCAAATGTCTCTCACGAACATGTCACATGAGTTGAAGTCGATCTAACCATCAGTATATTTGTCCCCTAGGACCAGTGAATATTTCATGAAGATGTTTATGAGAAATACAAAGGTAATGACAAAAGTTTAACGACGGGGATTTCGCACCAAGTCCTTGGTCTAATCACCAACCTGAAAATACCTTCACAGCGTCGTATAATGTCAAATGTAACGTTTGGGTAGACAACTATCGAGTTGCCATCCAGGTTCTGAGAAATGAAGTAGGTTGTAGCGCAGCGTTGTCTATCCTCAGAGCAAGAAATACTCAAGGTGTATTTACTCAACTGGCTGGCAGTGTTTATGTGACTCAAGCAATTATAATCTGTTAGTCTTAGAATGCGCCGTTAACCCGCCCATGTGCATGTTGGACGCAAACTGCTGCGACCCGCTGCGTTTAGAACATACACCACAAAAGTGTTTTAAAAACCATCTATCACAGCCCTCTCACTCTTTAAACAAAAGATGTTTACTCCAGTTCTTGGCACGAAGAATCGCTCTCACAAGGGTTGTTCTATAGTAATTATCCAAATGGCCGGTTGATTAGACTCATTGGACAGGGAAGATTATACCATACGCTATCGGGGGCCAATTCTCTCTAACTGGATCACCTTAAAAGTCTCCAGGCTCTCAGACAAAAAGATGAAATACCCATTTAAAGTGCCTTCCCGGTTGTCAAGGACCGTCTGTTTGTAGTCAAGACCCTATTTGAACTCACGATATTGGTCATTATTCTCTTCTCTCGCTTCTCAATATCAGTAAGTCTTGTAGGGACCGGCTCTTTGTCGTAACCAGGCTTTAAAAATGCATACGTTGTTGAATGGTTACCAGGTAAATCCACGGGGCCAAGCAATACAGGAACACTTTCCGAAGATGGTCTGAGAAATCGAAATATCTGCAAACAAAGAAATTTAAAGCAAGCAGTGAACTTTGCAACCTCCGAGTTTTTCAAAAATACAGAAGGTAATGAACAACGAACTACAATTTTAAAGGTGAGTATAACCCACGAAATCAGTTGTGCACACAACAACAAAGCAATACCTTGTCCACTGTGGCGTTTTGCTAACAGTATTGTTACTGGTTAAGCGCCACCGCGTCTTCTGTATGGTTGGCGGCATCTGGTTTCGGATTTGCCTGTCACTGTGGTCAGCCACAGGACGCCTGCGCCTACAGAGGGACCATGGATGGCTTGCGCTGCACCACCCACAGCTCCATCCACACACCCCATTTCCAGTGTAAACCCGAAGGAATAAGACCGGGAGGCATGTGGATGGGAGCCACGTTTCATCAACGGAGCCGGCCCACACTCCTTCACAGGCAAACACAAGCACGCTGTATTTGGGGAATCAAGTGCACACAAGGCGGTGGCTGGACCGTAGTCCGCTCCACACTGAGTGCATGGAACCACTCTTCGAACCTAGCACGACCACAAGGACCGTGCACCCCGTCCCCTCCAGCAACGACCAACTGTCTCCTGCAGCCAGTATGGACGAGGTAGTGGGTAATAGACAGGTAGGCACCTTGTCAACGCACATCAAGCGCAGCCACAACTGGGATGTCAAACAACAGCCAATCATTCGAAATGCCGATATCGATTAAAGTAAACGCATATGACGACATAAATACTCGCTAAATGAGCATATAGAAGAAATTGGTTATAAGTGAATCATCCGTGATAAGTACAAAATGTCCGAAAGTTAGTTAAAAAATACCATGCAAGTTTACCACAATTTGCGTGAGCGACGTGTGCAAGTAAGGAGAAGATTATCAAGTACGCAGAACAAACCAAATAACATGTAATGAATTTTATTCACATTAAAAAGACCTAGTTTAAGTGTAAGTTGGTTTAGCCCAACTGCGGTGAAGAAGCATCATGAATGCAACATCAGCGTCAGCAAGGGGCACTGTCTTCTGCATGTATATATATATATATATATATATATATATATATATGTAGGAAGAAAGTGAAGCTCGCATCGGACAGCACAACTGACTAACAGTGTTTGTTTATCAGAAAATGACTTCACAAACTGAAAATTCGCGATCCGTTCGATATGATTTTTTTCTCGGTGTTCACATTAACTTGCCATTGACGAACCATTTCAGTAACTACCAGCAATATTTTGATCGCGTACGTAGCAATTAATGCTATGTTATCCAGGTAAGCTCTTCGATTGTTCGTTTGACTTGCAAGCTATAGCCAGTTGAATAGCTTGTATCGCCATTTTTAATCTGCCGAAGTCTGTTCAACGAACTCAGTGAGCGGGACGTATCTGAATTACTAGATTTCTTCCTTGCTGCTCGACATTGTTCTCTAAAGGATCATCACCGATTGCTTTATTCCCTAATTTGTGGTGGATGTTCCGACCTGCGAGATACCGTAGAATTCAGAGTACACAGACCAGCTCTTTTTGATTGAGGGCAGACAGTTACACATACGACACTGTAAAGGCTCATGCGGATCGCAGCATCATTCGGTACGTTTTGCTCCTGCCAATGGCGGAGTACTCTACCATAACTGGTTCAGCCTGCAACATGTTCTCACCATCATCTAACAGCCGCTCAAAACTGATCATCAGCAAATTTGCTTGTGTAGCTATATCACTTTTGGCGGTCACCTAACCGTAAAGGACACCCACATGCATGGCCGATTCCCAAGCAATCTTTAAATGCCTCAGGCGCTCATGGAGATAAAGTAGCACAAGTATTTTGGATAAGGAAAAAACTTAAAATGCTGCAGTTTGACCGTTATAAATGTATGCAACAGGCATGGCCTCACAATGGAAATTATGATACTATATATATATATATATATATATATATATATATATATATATATATATGTCTGCATTGCGTTAGGGTCGCAGCACTATAGATATGGTGTTTGCGGCTCGTCACTTGCAGGAGAAGTGCAGAGAACGACATCAGCTACTGTACTCGCTTTTTTATTTCATCCAAGCATTTGTTACGGTGAACCGCGCATCAATGTGGCTGGTTTTGGGTAAGTTTGGTTTTCCCCAGTAAAGTTGCAAGTTTAATTGAATGTCTGCACAGGGATATGCAGACGAGGGTGCAGCTGAGTGGATAAACCACTGATGACTTTGCAGTTGTCTCTTGTGCGAACCAAGGCTGTGTCAACTTGCTCTGTTTACTATGTACCTTCATGCAATGATGTCTTGTGCTTCGGATGCGGGTTGTGCTTACGGTGTTCATGTGGAGCACCGTATTGATGGATGGTTGCTGAACATCCGTCGTTTCAGTGCGAGAACTCTAGTCCGTGAGACAACTATCCGTATGTTGCTGTTTGCTGACGATTGTGCGTTGTTTGCACATAGCACGGATGATTTGCAGCACATGACTAGTGCTCTGGCTTCGACAGCGGCAAATGCAAGCTCAGCATCATACAAGCAAGACTGTTTGATTTTCCAGACTTCACTCAGAATGGAGTCCCTTGGCATGCCCCAGATCCAGGTTGCCGACGAAGTGTTGGAAACCACTCAGAGATTTTACTACATTGGGAGCGTAATATCAACTGACCTGCAGATGACGAGCGAGCTGCGCAGTCGCGTATCGAAGGCGGCTGCTGCATTTGGCAAGCTGGAATGCCGTGTGTGGAATAACTGTCAGCTCACTGTTGGGACGAAGCTGCTGGTATCCAAGTCTATGGTGTTGTCCGTTCTTCTATATGGCGGTGAAACCTGGACGATTTATCGGAAGGATGTCCGTTATCTGGAGCGCTTCAATCAAAAGTGTCTGCGTTGTATTATGAGCATCGGCTGGAGTGACCGAGGTGCAGATACAAAGGTGCTCCGACGCAGTGGATTGTATACATATACTAAGGCACCTGAGTTGGCTCGGGCTTATTCGCCGTGTGGATCCTACCCGTATACCGAAACAGCTACTTTATGGACAACCGTGCAGGGAAGCGGCAAGTGGGAAACTGAATTTACGTTACTAAGACATGATCATAGTGAGCGTGTCGCGTCCTAATGTTGATTTCAGGTGTTGGGAATTGAAGGCAGTTGATCAATGTGCATGGCGCGGTCTGATCACGAAAGCAGTTCCCGAGGTGCAGGAGAAAGCTCTCGTGCATACAGAGAAAAAGAGGTAGTTGCGGAAGCTGCAGACGCTGATGTAGTATGTTCCATCGATGTTGAGCGCATGGTGCTGTAGCAAGTACGATCACGAATACATGCGTCAGGCAGGTCTAGTGAGCCACGAGCGAGGCTACTCGGGACCAGAATATAAAAGACGACGGGTGTTGCTGAGAACACAAGCAGAAACGACACAACGTTGTTAAGTACGCTGCACGTACTTCCATTCGATTTACTAACCGCGAGCTTGCGTGCTGGGTTTCTTTATTTCAGGTACTTGGTTTACTTACTTGTCTTAATGTTTAGCTTTCACCTTATTTTAATGCCTACTTGAATAAGCTTCTATTAAGTGACACATGTCGCGTAAGCTAACTGTAGTTAACTACGTAAAACTTTCGTTTCTGTGGCATTTGTTAAACATCGTTTCCTGATATATTAAACTTAGCGCCGATTTGTTGATATCCAATTTATTTCATGCACTCCTTAAGCGAAGAGTTTTCCGGCGTATTCGTATGCTTTATTCGAAATATTTTATATGATATTGTCACTTCCAGTGGTTGGCTGTTGCTTGACGTCCCCCATGTGGTTGCGCTTGATGTGCGTTGACAAGGTGCCTACCTGTCTATTATCCACTACCTCGTCCATACTGGTTGTAGGAGAGGACGGGGTACACGGTCCTTGTGGTCGTGCTACGCTCGAAGTATAGTTCCATGCACTCAGTGTGGAGCGGACTACGGTCCAGCCACCGCCTTGTGTGCGTTCGATTCCCCAAATACAGTGTGCTTGTGTTTGCCTGTGAAGGAGTGTGGGCCGGCTCCGTTGATGAAACGTGACTTCCATCTGCATGCCTCCCGGTCTTATTCCTTCGGGTTTACACTGGATATGGGGTGTGTGGATGGAGTTGTGTGTGGTGCAGCGCAAGCCACCCATGGTCCCTCTGTAGGCACTGACGTCCTGTGGCTGTCCCATGGAGGCCATAGTGACAGGCAAATCCAAAACCGGATGCCGCCAGGCATATATATATATATATATATATATATATATATATATATATATATATATATATATATATGAAAATAACGGGAATGGTACGTTAGTGTGTTAGTGTATTACATATATATATGGGCGAGAAAGATTATCGCTCGTAGGGGGGCTTGTGGTGTCGAAATCCCGAAAGATCTTTGACCCGCTGTGGTTCTAGTTCAGCCGTGGATTCATAATATAGACGCCGCCTTGTGGTGAACGCTGCGTCGAAGCTAGGGTATCATCCTTCTTATAGCCAGGATCCGGGACATATTCACATCTGCGTGACTCATGGCGTATTTCCTGCTGCATTTCTGGAGGACATTTTATCCAATGCTTTTGCTAAGGACCCGAGACGTTTTCCTCTTCAGATGTGGACGCCAGGACAATACATCAGACCAATTATAAACCAAGAAATACGCCACCAAATTTGATCTCATGTCGCTTCAGCCGTCGCGCAGTAGACAAAAACTATTGCCTTGTCTGCTACATACAGCAGGGTGAACGAGCGAAATCATAATACCGTGAGTGATTCCGTCCATATTCTTCCCCCTCACATCCATACCAAGCTCTCCCAGTCCCCATTTCATCTGGCCGACCCTACAGACACCAGTCATTGTGCTCGCTGTAGGTCGACTTCACCAAGGCAATTGACACGGTGGTGGAGGGTAAATTAGATGTCCTGGTAACTATATTCGTCTAAATGGTTGCTTTACTGAGGGTACAGCTGTGTGGACAAACCTCAGGTGACTTTGATGTTGGATCTGGTGTGAAGCAACGCTATGTCTCAGCCCTTGCCCTGTTTCGTATTTATCTTACTGCTATAACGTCTCATGCGCGCAATGCTTGTGAATACCGTATCCGTGTGAAGTCCCGCATTGATGATGAAGTCGAGGACCTGAGAGTGAGACAGCCACACAGATGTTGGTGTTTATCGACGACTGATTGTTGTTTGCACACAGCGAAAATGAGTTGGAACGCATGATGACGGCTTCCAGTTCGACAGCAGTCTAGCTCGGGCTCACCATAAACACAGACAAAAAGCTACCTGCTTCCTTCAGTCGTCACAGAGAATGGAAAGCATTTGCTGCCTATAACTCAGGTATACTGATGAAGTTAGAAACCTCATCGCTTGCGTTGGTCATCCTTCCGAGTCTCACTGAGTGCGGCAATATCGATGCCGTAGTGGCTGAGTTCCACGCTGACGAGTGCACTGTGTCGCTGGGGGCGCTCATTCGTATTCAGGGGCAGAAGGATTTACACATTCCAGTACCTCAGCTGGAGCGCAGCCCGAGGAGGTATATGATTGCTTCATGTAATCGCTTAGGTGGTGAGTTGAACTGGAGTTGAAGGTTGACGCTTGCCGCGTACCTTAGGTGAAATGGGGACTGGAAGAGGAGAATGTGGAAGTGAGGAGGAGAAAAAAAGAATGGAGGCGTCTGCAGTGGCATGCTTGCGCATATCAAGTCATGCTGTAGGCAGCAAATGAGACAACCATTTCCCACCCTGCGTGACGGCCGAAGCAGCAAGAGGTTATCCTATTTTGTGTTTCTTAGTTTATGATTTGGCTGATGTGCTGCCAGTAGTCCACACCTGAAAAGGAAAAAGACTCGTGACCACAGTCAAAGACAGCGGGAAATGTGCCAAATTCAATCAAGTCACGCAGATGTCGATATCTCCTGGCGGTTGACTAGAAGAAAAGTGATACCCAAATTCGACCCGGTGGTCACCACAAGGAGGCGTCCAGAACATGAGTCCAAAGCAGAATTAGAACCACAGCAGGTTAATGATCCTTTAGCATCCTGACATATATATATATATATATATCATATATAATGAGTAATTACTGACTTGGTGCAGTGTGGTATCTTTATTGCACATGCCTAGAACGAATGAGCCACAGCTAACCTAACTTTATTTGGCTTATTTAACTCGGTTGTATTTGTCGATGAGTTCACATGTTGCCCATTGCAATATTATGCTCATTATGACCTATGCTATGCTATTCTTGCTACCTTCTCAAGCGGAGTCTAGTATGGTGACATACCGAGACAATGAGCTACGGTATCTTTCTCTTCGTATTATTATTATTATTCGGCCGCGATTCACATCACTATGTAAGCTCCATGGTATTAATCACCAGACTATGCTATCTACATTCTGCCCCTTGAAATCGAGTTGTAGATTACATAACGGTAGCTTGAGGAGCTGCTCAATGCTAACTAGCATGACGCTTAGAGAGCCGGTGCATCGCAGAATAATGGTCCAGTCCATCCCTGAGCTCCTTCGTAAGTGACGTGCGCGCGGTGTTTCTGAGCGATTTGTGTGCTTGATACGGATCAATGCTAGGGTGGCAAATTAGTGTGTAGGTTTCCAGTTCGATGGATACGTTTGAATCAAAAGTTATCACCGCTTTCCCGATTACAGTACGCATAAAATGTCAAGTTTGACATTTGGAACACAATGCTCAACGATTGTCCCGCGTGTGACCACATTGGACTATGCATTGGACTGTGGCAAGTGAACAATCCCGACAATTAACCGACTAACGATGATCACGAAGTTTTCATTTCATGTTCCACTCCGCAGGCTAGTGATGAGAGTGGGTATAGTTATAGTTCCAGTTGTCCCTCAGCCATACTGAATTTACCGGGGCTTATGAAAACACACGTACTAAACGGGTGGAAGGCAGACGCACAGAGACGCCTATCAGAAGTTGCATTGCACATGGACAATCTTTCGGATGGACTAATCAAAAGGTTGAACCTAACGGGAATGGTAGGTCAATGTGTTAGTATATTACATCGGAAAGGAATCGGTGCATAGCAACAAACATTTTATGAGCACCGAATGACTGCACCTGAGGCGTACGATATACATCGTTAGCAAATATCTTATGGCCACAGTAGAGTACACGTCAGTAGGTACAAACGATTGAGTAGTTGGACATTTACACAAAAATTGCGAACATTGTTTGAAAAATCGCATGTTTGACAGTGGCAGCGTGACTTAGTTCATGCCACCTGTCAATACCAAAGGGTGCGCATCAATCGTTCTTTGAGTATGTGCACGTACCTCGGGCAGCAGATGACCGAACCGGTCGGAGACACAGAGAGCCAGAAGTGGACACTGCATCGCATTCGCATGCTATGTGATCATCTTCCCCATCAGCTACTCAAATCAGACTGCAGATGTAGAGGGCAACATCTAAGTGCACACTATTTCACTGTACCAATAGTTTAGTTATCCTTCTGCCTAGCAGTTGCTTCACTATTGCTACATCGGGTCCCTTCAAATATGGACGCCCAAGATTTAGGGCGGCCACGTCTAAATGTTGAAGAAAACATCAACAGTTCGTCTTCGGGAACTTTTTGTCATGCCTGCGAAAGTGGTTGTTAGTCTGACCTCCAAACCAAACCCATGCACAGTTGTCGCAACGTTGATCATGATGTCTAATGTGTCTCTATCCAGTTTGTGACAGCTCACACTTCAATTTGGATAAACGCATGTGCATATGTTGTATTCGAACTGCCATTGGATACGGATGACGCCAATCTATGTATATATGTATACCGAATGAATTCGACGAGGATACTCATACCGCATTTGTACGGCTAACTTAGTGGAGGGAAAGGGTACTCGAGCAAACCGAAAATAACCTTACCAGAACATGCAGAAGGTGAGTTTATGACAAACTCATGTTGATTTCAGGTGTTGCAAATCCAAAGCAAATGTGATCGATGAGAGCTCCGTAGACTGATCATAAGGGTGGTTGCTCAGGTGCAGGAGAAGGTACTATTGCACGCGGAATAGAAGCATGATGTGTACGCTCCCATTCGATTTACTAATACAGGCCAATAAGGCGGCGTATGTGGTACGTTTGCTTGCGTGCTGCACAAGCTTGCATTTTAGAAGTAGATGTTGTTTGAGCTCCCCGGTGTGGATGAGCTTGATGTGAACTTTGACATGGTGCATACCAGTCTATTACCCACCACCTTGTCCATAGTGGCTCAAGGAGACAGTTGGTCGTCCTGGAGGGGACGGAGTGCACCGCCTCGTGAAGGTGCTAGGCTTAAAGAGTGGTTCTATCCTGTGTGGAACGCGCTACGGTCCAACCACCGCCTCGTGTACATCTGGTGTGTATGATTTCCCAATTAGGCCAGAATGCTTCCGTTCTGCTTGTTGAAGGAATGTGGGCCGGCTCCGTTGATGAAACGTGGCTCCCATCTACAAGCCTCCCGGTCTTCTTCCTTCGGGTTTACACTGGATATGGGGTGTGTGGGTGGAACTATGAGTAGTGCAGCGCAAGCCACCCATGGTCCCCTTTGTAGGCGCAGGCGTCCTGTGACTGCCCCATGGACGTCACAGTGACAGGCAAATCCGGATACGGACGCCTCCAAATCATATATATATATATATATATATATATATATATATATATATATATATATATATATATATATATATATATATATATATATATATATATATATGTATATATATATATATGAGCGATGGAGCGGCAATCCTCTCACATTTACATCGCGTAGTGACTAGTATGAGAGGTTTCAGAGGCCCACACGCTCGCAACACTACGAGTGTTTTCAAATTGACATTTGATATGGATAAGCCTACTGGATTTTGCTTTTAGGTGTTCACTTAGAGGATTTCCATTCGCTATGACTTTGTTGAATGCAGCGAAAGTACTTTACTTACTATTTCGATTATTATCGTGATCCCGATGTGGCAGCGATGAGTGCCACAGCTTGAATTATTACCCGATGCTGAGAACAAAGAAACATTTGCAGTGACTCCTCGCCGGTTCCGAATCTTAGACCTCTCAACGTGACCACTCCACATTTACCCGCAGCAGCAAAAAACTCAGTGGACTTTTAAATATTTTGGTTACCAAGTGCAAAACAGTGCACTAATTTGCACAATTCCTTGAGTTATTTTTCGTTGCATATCGCAGTGAATGGTTACTTGTGCACACGTCTACTAAAAGCCTGAGCAATATCTATGGATATGTTGATGAGGAACTCTGACAACTAAATATTTGGCGGTCATTAACCTTAGGGATTATGTTGAACAAGTCGGTTCATCCTCTGTCTGTAAACCTGGACGGAGTCGTGTTATGTTTGTTGGTTGTACTGTAATTGATTGATTTTATGCAGACACGAACGAAACCATTGCGTAAAAACTTATCCCTTTTGCTGTGAACACGGGTATATGTGGAACGTCATTACTAAATTCCGGGGTGCGTGTCACTGTACCCGTATATTCTACCTGTCCGTATTTCCTCATTCCGTTTTGAATGCTATATAGACAATCAGGGTCCAATGACAGTATCCAGATCACGTAGATCGCCAACTACCAAGTCTCTTATCTCCTATAGTTTATACTGATGATCGCTAGCTGTATCCATCAAATAAATAAATGGTATATTCCTCGGCGGTGCGAGGCACAGTTCAAATAGGTGATCTGATCAATGTGTGGGGACAACAAAGAGAAGACAAAAGAAATGAAACAAGAAAACAATATCGATCGATTGTGTTTAGGTTAGTTGAGCAATGAGCCCGGCACTCACACGATAGCCATGAGGGTTTACCAGATGAGTGAGGGCCCGTGAATCGCACTTGACAGTGGTCGTGGTGTTCACTCCAGACTCTCCTGGTAACATGAGTTGATGCTGCGTTACGTATGGAGCTTCGAGCAAGTACAGCATGTACTTCCCGTGCGGTTCATCGGGATCTCCGGCAATTTCGTAGGGCCAGTCGATGACTAATCGAGACGAGGGAATCAGGCTGTGTTTGCGCAGATTGATAACCTGGTGGATTATTAACGGAGAAATGTACAGTTACTGGCAAGGAATAAAGTGGTCACTGTTTTTCTTTCAGCAGCACCACACTGCTGACAGCCGTGGAGTGAGTGATGCATTTGGAATTTTGCACAATAATCTTAGACAAACCGGTAAAGCCCCCAGATCGATACAACTGTATGAGAAATTCACAACGATCAAGTGGCCACGCCTCATAGCAACTAACCTGTACAGTGACAATTGTCAGCGCCTGATTTGGCACGCGAACACAAAACCAGTTTTCGCAGTAGTAAAGTCGGATTCCAACTTGTTATCAATTCCTAATGAAATTCTCAATGAAATTACAAAGGATTGGATCACTGAAAACACTGAGAGCCGTTTGGTTACGCTAACGCAGTGGGGGCCTCTGATAAGCTGAACACTGAATATTTCGGATCCAAGGAGTTGGGCCTTTCTGCAGGTGTGTGGGGCTGGCTGCGACGGTGATTAATGGTTGTGGTATATGCTGTGGTATATGTCATAGACTGCTGCCGCATTGATACATTAGCTACGCTCGCTACGCCCACAGGTGATTTGAACTTTTGAGGGTTATGTTTAAGGATATGGATTGGGAGGGAATCAATGGAGGATCGGAAGATATGAGATAAAGCACCATTCATGTCGAATGTTTATTGGAGAGAGAAAGGAAATATGAAAAAATGAAGTTAATGCGAATCGGTTAAAGTAGCACCATCCGCTGTCTCGCCCAAACTTACCAACAGAGTCAGAGGAGTACAACTCTGAATATACCAGTACCAATTGCTTCAGTAGGGCCATATCGTTCACATGCACATCGATTATCAAATCTAGACCCGACTCTGTCCGGTGCTTGGCTATCGCAACCGAACCGAAACTTAACTTTAACTATTCGTAGATTCATTATGAAGCACAAGTTGAGCGACTGGATTGGGACACGCCCTCTTCGTCCGGACCGCGATTCACTGCGATCACTGGAACCCACTGTGAAGCTGATGACTGACCGCAGCACTGCGCTTACGACCAATTTCGCCCTTGTCGGTTAGAGATCGCAGAACCGCGCCCGTGACCCGGAACCTATGGACTGTCACCAAGCCTCTACTCCTAAGCCAGTATTCACCCACGAACAATGTTTACCATGACACATTGAAGATTATCTGGAAACGCTTGTGGTATGAATGCAGCGTCATATATAGTCTCAATCTGGAATGCGATTCAGTTTAGAATGAGTCACTGCATGTTCGATCACTGGGATCCTATCTGAGGCCTTTGACTCGATGGCTTAGGAGCAGAAACTTCGGCCAACGGCCCCAAAGTACCGGGTTAGAGTAGCGTTCCTGTATCTGCACCTGACAAATGTAATTAAGTAAGAAGATAGCCGTAAAGTGCGGTGTTACAAGTTAGCAATACCCCCATTTATCTGCACTTCACCTACTTTGAGAGCCTTGTATTGCATCTTCTTTCGGATTCTAACTATTTTTTCAATTATACCAATTGAGACACGAGAGCCAGTTCTGTCTGGATGTCAGTTTCAGGTGTCTGTAAAACACAGGACCGTCGTCTAACGAAGAGGCCCCCAAACTGCTCGGGAGTGTTGGTAGATAAAGACCAGCTTAGAAAGAAAACTCCGACACTGCCTAAATATTCACTGTTCCAGCTTGTTCGGCACATGGGTCCATGAAAGTATCTTATGAAGCAGTCACTGAGGATGATTATAGCTAGATCGCTTTATCACATCGGTTAGAAAGCCGGCCAAGCAATTCGATCCATCAGAGGCATCCGAATTGTTCGATCGGTTAACTGAACCCACCTGTAGCGTTGACGTAACACCTCTACCATCGATGTGATCCGACACCAGCTGCTGCTGTTGTAACGGAACAGAACATCTTCTTCAGATGATATTCCGTCGTCAAGCCACTTGCGCCTGCGTTAACAACCCTGCTCGATACCATTTGGCGCAAGGAGAAAGCGTCCTCTGACTGGCGGTTGTCAGTTATGGCCACCAACTTTAATAAATGGCTAAAATACGCCTCGTGTAAACCATTGTCAAATGTGGTTGAACTCAACTACTTCCAAACTGGTAACCTGCATCATGCTGCGTCGAATCACTGATCCTCGTAACAGATGAATCTATGAAAGTTATATTAATCGCCATGCATCACGACTTTGCCCCTCCACAGGTGGTTCAGCAGCATCACATTTACGACCAGCCCAGCACGATAGCCATTTTTGGATTTAAGGTTAATTTTGAGTACGTCGATGGTACTGTTTATAGTGGTATCTGTCATTGAATGTCGTGCCGAATGTATTCCTCCCTAGTCTTAGACCACAATACGGTGAAGCCCTGGGCCATATGAGGGCCTGAGGGAAACTGCCATAATAGATGGAGAGCAAGAGGTCTGTCATATCTCTCCACTTCTCTTCACCTTTGTGATCGAAATAGTCAGGAATGATTTTTCCCTGACTCCTTATAATTCTCCAGAAGTTGAGGTTCTGTAATGCCGGCCATCAAAGCTGGCGTACCTAGATAACATAGCTCTCTTTGGGTCATACGTAGTTAATGGAAAAGGGTCGCTGAATAAGTCGATGTGTAACGCTAGGTCATGATTTGTGCTTTTAGAATGAAACCCCACAGGTTACATGGCCGGGTCAACGCTCTACTATCGCCAAGCAACCGAGTGGGATAAAAACGGTGTACTTCTTTGGTATCTGTATCACCCCTAGAGGTCACATCAGAGAAGAGGCCACTGTATACATCGCCCAGATTGGCGTATCTACTTATCGCCTGGGTCAGTTAGGTAGATGGTGAATTGTAAGCTTATCGATAAGGCCAGTCAAGTCACGCTAAGCTTCATGCACCCGCATAGGTGCAGTTTCAGCAGTTTGCAACATCAACTGCAGGTAGACTAAATTGCTATCATAAGAAGTGCAAAATTTCATAAAGGAGTAGACAAAAGAGAAAAAATGTGCACTGTTGTCATTCAAGAAACGGACAACGCCCTCCCGAGCAACGATTGCACATTGCTGAAAAGATTCCCTGAGATTTCAAATAGTTTAGAATCCCAGATATTTGCATCTAGTCGACAGGGCATAGTTTTACTTAACCATAACTTGCTGCAAAAGGGGCTTAAAATTTCTCGGCCAAAAGAAACAAACCGCGGATCGTGCGCAGTGTCTAACTCTTTGTATTCAAAATTTTGATAAAGTGGGATGGTTTCAGTGGCCATGGAAATGGTCTGACCAAAGACGTTATCAAAACGATCTTGCAAAACTGATGAATCCAGATTAGATAATGCAAAAATAACTTTAGGTGAAGAAGGGGAAGCGTCAGGTTCGTGGGTCATGAAAGCTAGGAATACGGGCGAGGAAGAATGGTGGGTAAGAGGCACCGTTAGGATCAGGGTGAGATTTTTCTTGCCCCTAGCTCAAACCCTTGAATCTAGAGTGTTTTATGAAAATGATGATGATTATGGAGTCATAGTTAACGTTAGGGTTATAACCGAACGTTGGTCTTCTTAGTTACTCATTCGGGTAGTGCATTATACCGTCCAGTGAACTTGTAACATATATTAACAGTAAGACGGCTTAGCGGAATGTACTGCGTTAATGTATGCCAGGAACAAGTGTGAAGTGTAGGTGTGGAATTTACGGACAGACCAGAAACAAAGTATGTTACTTTCCGATTCCCACTATTGCGTAATTGTCACTCCCGCGAAAAATGCAACGGCTGATTTAGTGGCCGCGCGGAGTGTCGTTGCATCGATCAGGAACTTGGTAGCTGTGTTGTGGGCACCAAGAGATTAACCTTGTATCCTCAGTTATATCCTCAAGATGGGAAGGTCTCATTAGCAACACTGAGGTTGTCATCTATCACCCCAGTTATGTGTCCGTCAAAACCACTTACGCCGGCTAGAGGACATGATCTTCGTTCCTGTGAGCAGGAAGCATCGGCGAGCACTGTTTGTCCACACAGTGCCCTGTTAGGTAAAACTTGGAGGTGGCTAATCACTGACAGGGGAAAGCCGCAAAGTAACACACCGAAGGACCAGTGTTTGTTGCTCTCTTAAATGAGGCCGTCAACGACAGCGGATAGATAGAACCACGTCAAATATGGCGCGGCTTATAAAGCAATAGCATACTCTCACTTAATCCCACATTTCTGCCTACCTTAAACCTTTGTCTTTTCCTTTAGGATCATTGTTACCATCAATGCAATTGCTATTTGCCTGACAAAGCGAGTCAAGGCGACTGAATCCATCGTGCCCCGGTGTAGGTAGATCACAGTTAATCAACCGAACTGAATTGAGATGTTCTGAGAGCTGTCGTGGTCCCACCCATCCACTACCGAATTTAGATTGGTTAGTTAATCTATCATTTGTAAGTCTGAGTGTGTCTCTCCTCAGCCGTGGAAAAGGATCCGATCATCATGCTTTGAGAGGGAGGGGGCATGCATCAAAACACGCGGTTCGGATCACATTGTGTTGCTCGCTCAACCAACATTAAAAACGCGTGAATCGGTATGGTATAGCTTACTCAGCCCCTCTGGCTAGCCTGCCGAACTACCTCCTCGTGGTCCCAGCTGGGTGGTTCGGGATTATCCCGTTCCAGCAAAAGGTTCGGCGGCACTGTTCCAGGACGTGTTGGGTTTTCGCCTGACAAGTGTTCTCTCTACATAAAGCCACATATGTCCGTTTAACAACACTGCAACGTGGTGGATGTGACTCGCCATTGAATAAAGTCACTGCTCCTTGCTTTACCTCGCTGGAGCATCGTAATTCTTCAGCTTGAAGCTTAATTACTGGGAGTATTTGGCCCGTGTTTGGCAACCAGCCAAACAAAAGGCGTAAGAATTGAGCAATCGGTCACCGGCTGCCAGTGGGCGTGATTCCCTGAATTCGCCCAAATGCCTTACGGGTCAGATCCCTATGACCAAAGGCTCCGGGTGGGGCCTCCTAAGACAACCCTTTTCTCAGCCTGAGAAACCGGAAAGCTGT